GCTGCATCCTGTGCCAGGGTTCCCCAAGAACATGGAGCTGAGAGGTAACAATGTGTGTTGCTACACAAAAAACTCTGGAGCCAGGTAGTACTTGTATTTAAAAGTCCTTGCCTGTGCCGGAGTTTATTCATTCTGAGTGCCCTAACAGGGGTGCATGCGTAGACCCAGAGATGCTCACCGCACAGTTCGCTCCCCAGCCGCTCCACCAAAAGCAGTATCAGGCCCCTCACTGCTTCTGCCTGGCTGCCTGTCACAGAGCACTCAGGTGCCCTGCGCCTGAGAGCAGAAACAGCTTGGGAGAGGCCCCTAGTGGCAAGAAGGGGGAGGCTCAGCTGCCAGTTACCAGGGCAGCCAGAGTCACAGGTGCTGGTTGCTAGGGCAATCAGCACTGAGGCCAGGAGGGCAGTTCCCCTCTGGCGGCCAAGGGAGGGGGAGCTCGGCCAGCGCAGACAGAATCGAGAAGCCCGACTGCATGAGCATCCCCTGATTGCTGCTATGGGTTGGAGTATTTCCTGGTAGGGACTGAATGTTGTTTGGCTGGACAGTTTAGCTTTTTATGTTATAGCCTGGGGGCTTTGTGTTCGCAGTTTTGACCAGAGGACTAGGTGGGGCTATTAGGGGTTGGAGGAGGCCTCATAGGGGCTCCATGGTAGCGTGGGGACTCTGGTGCCAGAGAGGGCGCAGCATTTGGGTGCATTGACCACAGCCCCAGAGCAAGAGGGCAGCAAGCAGCCCCAGAGCAAGGGGGAGGGCAGTGGGAAGCCCCTGAGAGAAGGCAAGGACAGGGCCAAATCACAGCAAGGCCCAGGCCGAATGCCACGTCAGTACCATCTGCAAGGCTTGGGCTGTGGTGTAGGGGAGGAAAAGGAGCCGCAGATAGCGCCCCCTGGCACCAGGGCATGTAAAGTGGGCAGCCTCCCGCTAATTACATCAATCAATCAAGATCAAGGCATAGCAGGCGAGTAAGCAGGCAGTTGGCCCATAACACGAGGGCGGAGTCACCAATGGAAAGGCTCTAGTAGCGATACTCCTGTCACACTGCCCCAGTGGTCCTACCTGTGCCCCTCACTCCCAACCCACAGTCCCCTATCCCTGCTGCTGACCCACACAGTCTCCCAACCTCCCAGGCCATGCTGGTGCCCCTTACACCCAAAATGCATCCCCCTGAAGCCACAGCTGCCCACAGGGAGCCCCATGCCCACCCCATCCCTTGGTCCTGGCCCAGCTGGCGAGGAGGAGACATACACTGCCCTCTCTGGATGGCCACTATCAGGATGCCCACCTGGGCCGTGCTGCCCCTGGCTCCCCAAGGGGGTCCCAATTGCCAGGGGCACCGCCTGCCCATAATCCGCCCTAGGTTCATGCAAGGAATTAATAACCACTTGGCCACCTCATGTGGGAGTGGTTTCATTTGCTGTTCACAGCCAATAGCACCCACCTGGTCCCACCACTGGAGCCTTCAGCCTGCTGGCATCATAACATTTTCTTTTTCCTTTTGCTTGCACAGTGGGCAGGCACGAGCTGACACCACATTCAGACCCATGAATTCTCCTGGCTTGGCAGCAGACTGCCACTGCCTGCATAGACACCCATGCCCACCCTGCATGGCCTTGGCCAGAGTACCCATCTGGGCCATGCTTCCCGAGGACAGCCTTGATTGCCAGGGGCACTGGTGGGCCATGATCCACCTCTGGTTCATGCAAGGAATTAATAACCACTTGGACGCCTTATGCGGGTGCCCAGGAGCAGTCTCATTTGCCATTCCAAGAAAATGGTGCTCACCTGATCCCAGGACTGCAGCCTCCAGCCTGCAGGCATTTTTGCATTTTATTTTGCTTTGTTTTGTGGGCATGGTGGATGGGCACCAGAACGCAGCACTGTCACACCCATGAATCCTCCTGGCTCAGCAGGGCATGGCCCCAGCGAGCCCCTGCCACCTGCATGGACACCCGCACCCACCCCGCATGGCCCTGCCCAAGATGCCCACCTGGGCCACGCTCCACCGGGCTCCCCAAGGGGGGGCCTTGATCGCCAGGGGCACTGTTGGCTATTTATCCACCCCCGGTTCATCCAAGGAATTAACTGCTCATCCACCTCCTTTGGGCGGCCAGGAGTCGTTTCACTAGCCATTAAAAAGCTCCCCCCACTTCAGCCCCCCGCCCCCTACTGCCTCTCCCTCCCCTTCCTGCTGCCGCCCCAGCCCCGGCTGCTCAGATTTCAAGCCCTGCGCCCACCACCGTCACTGCAGACGACGCCCGTACTTGCGAGACGGACAGAAGCGCTGTGCTGCAACGAAAACGTTGTTTTCATCCACAGACACAGGCAACTGCACCGGCAGGAGGTCCACCGTCCTACCGAGAACCAGCAGCCAGGCACCCCGGCACAGCGGCCTCTCCCGCAGCTGGCGGCGGGGCGCCGCGCACCCCCACCCACGCACCTGCGCGAACGGCGCTGCGACAGCCACCCCGCAGAACGACTTCCGGGGCCCCAAGTACGGCGGAAACGCCCTGCCTCAGCACTTCCGCGCGGCCATCTTGTTCCCGAGGCGTTCCATCTCTACACTTCCGGTCAGCCGGGGGTTTTTTTGCCCCCCGAGGCATCCTGGGAGATGGAGTGTTTCATTTCTACACTTCCGGCTAGAAGGTCTTTGCCCCCGTGGCGTGCTGGGAGATGAAGTGTTCCACTCCACACTTCCGGCCAGTCCTTTTTGCCCCGAGGCATGCTGGGAGATGAAGTGTTCTAACTCTTTACTTCCGGTCGGCCGTGTTACCCCCGAGGCAAGCTGGGAGATGGAGTGTTTTAGCTCGACACTTCCGGCCGGCCTGGTTGCCCCTGAGGCATGCTGGGAGGCGGCGTGCTTCCGAGCCCCTCCTGTCGCGGCCTGCCCCGTGATCGCCACGTGTGTCAGGGCGCGGGGAGAAGCGTGCTCCTGGTCCCGGGCGCGCTGCAGGCCCCGCCCCGCCCGCAGCGAGGGGGCGTGCGTCCGGCGCGGTCGTCGGACACGGTGCGCTGGGAATCCCGTCCGGGCTGACGGTGCCATGGGCGGGCGTGAACGATGCCGGGACCTCGGCCCGACGCCCGGGGCACTCTCTTTGCCCTCCAAAGCGGCGAGGGCGGCATCTCTGCGGCTCGCTTCCCTCCTCGTCCCCAGCGAGCTCACGGTCGTGGCTGCGCCCACGGGCCCAGAACCCAGAGCTCCCATTCTGGGGACAAGCGCCCTAGGGCCAGGGCAACAAGGGGTGGGTCCTGCTGGACCAGGCCCCTCAGGCTGTAGGTTCAGGGCCCCTTTGCTGCACCCTGGCACTGGTGCAGATTGTGCCCCATGCCCAGGGCCTCTGTGCACGGAAGCATTTTGGCACTAGGTGCTGAATCGCACCCGAGAGGAAGCCACGTACCAAACGCACAAGGCTTGGGCCCCAACCTGAGGCCACGCAGCCCGTGGGTGCCTGAACCCGGGGCCGGGATGTGAGGCCGTGCAGCACGTGGCAAAGCTGAGTTCCAGCTGCAGCCTAAAGACACGGTCTCCCTCCCTCCAGCACCGGACCCAAGACAGTTGCCCAAGTGCCAGACAGCTGCAGGGGACCTGGTCCCTTAACGCTCCGAGCCCAGGAAGCCAGCCTCTCTCCTTGGGCCAGCAATGGGTGGAGCCACCAGCCGCAGCAGGCCCCAGCTGCCCAGTCCAAGTGCCCTGTACCAAAATGCAGGCTGGGATGACGGCTGCAAACGGGCCCTGCCCCCCCAGGCTGCAGCAGGGGAGGCTTAGTCTCAGTCCTGCCCCACTGCTTAGATCTGCAGCATCACACAGCCACAGCCCTTGGGGGGTGGGGGTCACAGCTGAGCACAGATGCTGCAGCTGCTGGCAGCAGTGAAGTGGGTGCAGCCAGTCCAGCCCCACCCAGTGCACTGGAAACATTCAGGTTTTCACAGCCCACAACTGGGGTGGGTTTGGACAATGGTAACATGGCTTGAACGGGGCTTCAGGGTGCAATGCCAAACAGCACAGCCCCAGTTATGCAGGCCCTCTGGATCAGCTGGGTGGCAACACAGGGAGACCAAGGACATGCTCCCAGCAGATAAGAGTTTGTCAAGAGATTCAGGACCCCTACACCACTCTCATCTCTAAACTCTAGCCTCAGTAGAGGGCCAGCAGCAGTGGGCTGCACCAGGGCAAGGTGGATACAAGCAGATGCGACAGGACAAGGACTGGGAGCCTGAACCAGATGCCCAAGCAGAAGGTGCTGCCCAGCCTCTGAGCACACTGTGACCCCATATCCAAGGGGATAGTTCAGGGTTAACTGCTGTCAGGCATTGCCCTGGTACCCATGGCCCTGCCTCCAGAGCGCTCTGACACTCAATGGAGCCCAGCCTTTGTGCAGGCCCAAAGGCTGGCCAGGAGTCTGCTAAAAGGGGTTAACAGCTGCTGGACTGCAAGCTCGGTGGAAGGTGCCAGAACATCTGGTGTTGATTCCAGGGCAGCCTGAGGACAGCATCAGTACAGGCCCGCCACATGCTCAGTTGGCAGTCAGTGGGACGGTACAAATGGGCCTCACACAGTCAATGTGCTTGGGAGGCAGGAACATTGTAATCAAACAAGTTCATCAGTCAGCACCTGGGAAGGGGCCTGGCCCCCATCTGGCTGACCAAGGGACAGTGACACAAGCCTGGCACAAGCACTTCTCCAGAAATGCTCCTGGCTTCACGTCACCTGCGCTGTCCCTGCTGTCAGCAAGTCTGGTCCTGGGACAGGGTGCACATAGACAGAGCATGAGCTCAGGGTGGTCTGGTGCTGCCCACAGCAAGGCTTCCACCTTCCTGCTCCTCCCCTGGGCTCGCTGTGGCCTGCTGCACATGGGCACAGCCCTCTCCCTGCACTGAAGTGCTGTGTGTGGGCAATTCAGCACCTGGCACCGTCACACAGACAGAAACCATGCAGGAAGCCCAGGCACATGGGTGCACAGCACAGCCCTCACCATGCAGCCATCACCCTGTGACCAGGCCCTCAGACACCCCCAGATGCCCTGGGCTCTCCGAGGAAGCTGATGACCCCTTCCGCAGTGCAGCACTGACTGTCCCAGGCAGTGTCCCAGCAGCAGCTCAGCTGGTCAGGATGTCACAGAGATCCAAGCAGACAGGCTGGGGGTTGAGATGGGTCCCAAAGGAGAAACAGTTCCCTCCACCACCAATGAGCAGCAGCTCCTTCTCTTCAGGCAGCAGGATGCTGCTGTGGTTGTGCAGCAGCAACGGCCACTCCACAGCCTCCTGGAAGAGAACAAGTGAGCCCAGGTGGGCATGAAGCTGCCTGCTTCAGGGCAGCTGGTCTGAGGCTGAGTGCGACCTGGGCATGTGGGGATGGGGTCTCAGCCACGGCACTGAGATTCACCAGGAATGCAGACTGCGGCACTCAAGGGCAGGGGCCGGCTGCTGAAGGGTGTTGCTCACCTGACACCACCTGGCACTTTGAGGCATCCCACACCTGTGGACCCACCCATGAAGAACAGGCGCCCCATGCCCAGCACTCTGGTAGGTTTTGCTAGCGACATCCATTGGGCTAGCATGTACTCTTCCCTATGCCCCTACCCAGGACACTACAGTGAGCGTCTAAAAAGCTGCAGTTAATCCCAGGAAGCAGCTGCCCTGTCTTCCTGGGGAATCTCAAACCTGGTAGATAAACAAGCTGCCCCATGTGCAGATGCCAGACTGCACTAGGGCAGACTCTGGGTGACAGCCTCCAATAGCCCTGGCCTGCCTGCATTGGGAGAACCGATATGGCCTGCAGGGGTGATTTTCCCCCAAATACTGCCTACTGGCCTAACCAGCCTGACTCCCCGGGCTCTCAGTGATGGAACCATCAACAAGGCCAATGCCAGGTTCAGATCCCAAGAAAACGTTTCTGCAGTATGTGCAAATGCACGTGCTAACCTCTTCAGAAGCTATGGAACACTAGGACATGAAAACAGTAGTGTTCACTTGGCTGTCATGAGCAGCTGTTGGTCCCAAGTATGCTTTGAGTGACCTGCCTGGCAGTCCTGAATGCTGAGAGACAGCAAATAGTCCAATATATCTGGAGATTAGTAATCAGTTTATTTGTAATCTAATCACTAACAAACTGCTGTGGAGCAGCCTAGGAGGAAAAGGGACATGGGACGGGACAGGAAAGGAAGCCTTGGGCCATCAAGTGCAGCCCCCTGCTATAGCTGGCTTCACAATGGATAATCCCCAGAGGAAAAACAATTCCACTCTGAGCTGTGTGTCTGGCTAGTGGAGGAAGATATTCTCTGTAAAAGAGCAGCTCAGAGCTGGGCAAGCAGCTCATGCTGGTGTTAGACACACAGCATGAAAGCCAGCAGCTATAGGGACAGTGGATCCACACAGCACTAAGCCCTGATCTTGAGGAACTGCTCCCAGCATGGACAAAGCAAATCTGCTGCTGGTTTGACAAGTACAATGGTTTCAAAAAGCTCTGAGGCTATACCAATTCTGGCACAAACATTCTAACAAGATTTCACAGAAGCAGGACATTGGTTGTCCTGGTTCCCCTGCTTTACCTGTGGCAAGTGAGGGTGCTAGGTCTGTGTTGTGTCACAGTTGTGGGCCATCTTATGTAGAGTTTAGATTATGGATTGTATGGGATGGTTTGGACAGGGCTGATCCTGCCCCAGGAAGAGGGCTGGACTACAGCAGTGGTTTTTCAGAGCCCGGTGGGGGGCACAGACTATATCTAAGTGGTCCGTGAAAAGTGACTATGCTCAATGAAAAGTATGTGAGCACCTACACTTACATTGCAAAGGTGTCCACATCTTCATGCAAAATTTTTTAGGGGTCTGCAAATGGAAAGGTTGAAAACTACTGAACTAGATGACCTCTGGAGGTCTCTTCCAGCCCCTACTTCTCTATGATTCTGACAGGCAGGCACAGTGACCTCTCCTCCTTCCTGTGATGACCACAGGAATCCACAGAGGTGGCGGGAGAAACTCTAGATTGCTGGTCCATAGTAATAGAAAGCATCAGACTCGGGACCCAGACTCACCCTCCTTGGGAGCAAAAACATGGAACTTCTCACTTTCCCTGCGTGCGAAGGTCAGCTCCGAGACATCCTGTCTCTGCTGGAGCTAGCATACCCTGCAGAGGCCTTTTTCTGCACTTACCACGTCAATCTGGTACTCCACAGTGGCACCTGTCATTAGGTCAACGACAGCCACACCAGGCACCGACGGAGCAAGAAGCCACACTCCCCCCACCAGCAGGAGCTTCCCATCGTGCACATGAGCAGTATGCGAATACCTGCGAGCAGAACACAGAAATGGGATGCCTGGGACGAGGGGAACCACGTGAAGGCCACCACAGCATGTTGTCCTGAGGGATGTTCACCCACCTGGGGACAAGAGGAGGACATGTCTCCAATGTCTGCCACTGAAAGCCACTCTCTGTCGGTCTCAGGAAGAGCACTGACCCCAGCAGCTGTTCAGCTGCTCCCAGGCCTCCTGCAATGAGCGCTCCCCCGGCCCAGGCACAGGCACTGTGGGAATGACGGCCATCCGGGACCACCCCCTGGACTGGAACCTGGGAAAGCAGAATGACACAGGCTGAGCTCTGCAAGGAAAGCACTCCTTATCTTCCTCTCATCCCATGAAGGGCATAACCCTGCCCCTGTACCAAAGTAAGGGCAGCACAGAGGGAAGCATAAGCAGGTCAGGCCAGGAGAAACTGTTTCAGGGCAGTCAGTGTCTGGTTCTTTGGAGGTGGCTGTGCTGGAAGAAAGTTCCCATCTTACTGCACTGGCACTGACCGGGTCCCAATGCTGCAATACTTGAGCATCATACAGACTGAAAGGTTCTTACTTTCACATGCTCAGAGCAGTGACACACCTGTTTAGCCTTACACCCACCTCTGTGTTCAAGACACCATTGCCCCTTTTGGATTGTTGCCAATTCAGAGCCACAGATTCCTGAACACAAGTGGACCCCAGTGCTAAACAACAAAGCCGAGGATGCTGGCAGGGGTCTGCAACAGACTACCAGTTCTGTACGGAGCGCAGGAGTTTCTTAGCAGCCTGGCCAAGCTATTGAAAAGAAAATGGTAGCATCAGGAGGAATTTGGCTTGGGAGACTGTACTGTTGGTGTCCAAGTTGCCCTTGGGCTGCCTGGGGTAAGAGACCAGAACCCCCTGGGGCTGGTCTCTGGTCCCTGTCCCAGAAATCTCAGTCAACGTGTCAGACAAGAGGAGACCAAAAGAGGTAAGTGGATGGTGCAGTGCCAGGGAGGAAGGTAACACTGGCCAGTACAAGCACTGCTCTTCCAGCTTGGCAGCAGCCTAGCCATGATTCAGTCTCTTGTATGTCCCATGGAAAAGGGGTTTTAAAGGAAGCAGTGGAAGGAGGACTGCGAGGCAGCTCTGAAGACTTCACAGGGAGCTAATCCCACATGAGGGATGGCAGGGAAAAGCACAAAAATTCTTGGTCTTGGGGGAGGAAAAGGACAGATGACGGCAGCTGGACCTAAAGGTTCAACCTGAGGCAGGAATCAGTAGGTCCATGGCAAATGAGACACAATGGGGGGGTAGGGAGGGAGGCTGTGACAGCCCTCAAAATTTGAAGCATGGGGGTGAACTACAGCTTGTCCAGGGCAGCTGGGACCCTTGCACGCAGTCTAGTGATGCTAGCCACATTAGATATCTGAAGGCTGTTATTTGCTCTTTGCCCATACTAAATGGAAGTGGGTGGGAGCACTGGTTCCTAGCCACCCAGCAGCTTCTAGTCTAGCAAGCAGTCCATCTTGATCCATGGCAGTGAGGTCCCACTAGGTTACCTGCTGTCTGTTCTTTCTGTGTTAGAACACTGTCTTCCTTGCACCGCAGTCTGTGGGGGTTGCTCCAGTGAGTCCTTCAGCCTCCTTGCAGGGGAAAACCAGAGCTGTGAGCCACAGGCTGCTGGGGTTGCCCCACCACTGGAATTGGATTTTATAGACAAATGGGTCAGCTCAGCCTGTCTTTCCAATTCCCAGCCAGAGCCAGGGCTGTGTTTGTTTCTGTGGGCTTTGTTCCCACCGTGGTTTCCCTCTCTCAGGTGTTTGCTATGGCTCAGGCTCTGCCAGCTTCTGGAAGGAAGACAGACTGAGAAAAAAGGGGAAGGGCTGATGTCTTGCTTCCCCCACTCAGATATTTGCTCAGGGACTTTGGCTGGCTGTGCAACTTCTTCTGTGGGCCAGTCTGGGCAGGGTTGCCTCAGTTCCCTTTCTGCAGCAGGATGGTGAGGCTGGTTCAGCAGTGTAAGATGCAGCTCAGCCCAGGTCTGCCCTGCCCTTGGCTCCTTCCAAGAGGGAATTCATGTCTTGGGGCAGGAGAAGTCCCCTTGGCCCCCACTAGAAGCTCTGCCCCAGACTGTGGGGCTTGGCCACCCCCATCCTCCCTGCCTTGCTGAGGGAAAGAAGTTGAAAGGCACCAGACACAGTACACGTGCTGCCCAGGCCAGCATGGGAAGGGGCCATCAGGTCCAGCTCCCTCAAACACCCCCAGTCTAGTGGATCTCTGTTCCTACCCTGAGCTGAGATTTCCAGGAGAAATGCAGACACCAGGTAACCTACTGGGATCTCATTGTGATGGATCAAGATGAACTACTAGCTAGACTGGAAGCTGCTGGGAGGCTAGGAACCAGTGTTCCCACCCACTTCCATTTAGTATGGGCAAAGAGCAAACAACAGCCTTCAGATATCTAATGTGGTTATTTAGACACATTGCTTTTTCACAGATGGGAAAAATTTTGAACAGAATCGATCAGGGGGAAAATTTAGATACAAAAATGTGAATGAGAATCAAGAGAGAGAGATGGTATTTATCAGATGACCAAGAAGCTGTGATACCACAATCAAGAGTAAAGACAGCTCTGGGCAAAAGCCTGTTCTGGTTCGGTGGGAAGTGAAATGATGCAAGAATGATGGAGTACTTTCCAGTCCAGTAACTAGAATCATAGAATCACTGAGTTGGGAGGGACCTAGACAGATCATCTAGTCTGACCCCCTGCCATGGGCAGGAAGGAGCACTGGGGGTGGCAGGGGTCATAAGACAGGGGTGCCTATCCAGTCTCTTCTTGAAGATTTCCAGGGAAGGTGAGAGCACCACCTCTCTGGGGAGCCTATTCCAGGCTCTGGCCACCCTTACCGTGAAGTAGTTCTTCCTAATATCTAACCTCAACCTATCCTCCCCTCAGCTTGTGGCTATTGTTCCCGGTGACTCCAAGGGGGGCCCTGGTGAACAGACTTTCCCCGAGTCCCTGCTGGTGGCCCCTGATAAAGTTGTAGGCAGCCACAAGATCCCCCCTAGAAAGCATTCAGAGAGAAATTTATTCAACTAAAGGCCCCACACCACTGTGTGAGCAAGGCAGATAACGCATGTGCTCCACTCCCTGGCCTGCTGGTCACAGTGCTCCCCTGGGGGCCCATCCATTTACAAGGGGATATTTAAAAATGAAGTAGCAGATTACCTGGTATCTCCCCATTCCCTGGGGAGCAGCCAACCCCTGGGCTTTGCAGCAGACTGACTCCTTCTCCCTCTCTCTGGCCCAATGAGTGCTCCATTGCTTCATGCCAGCGAGGGGACTTGCTAGCCAGGGCACTCCCCCGGGAGGTGGGAAGTCACCTGGGGCAGCAGTGGGACTGAAGCCAGGTCCCTGCAGTCTTTCACCAACCTCATCTTTAAGAGGGAAACAGCACCACCACATCCAGGACAGAGCTCACGGCTGCAACCCAATGGTGAGAGGTGTCCTTGCAGCCCAGAGCGTGGACTCTCTTTCAAGAGGGGGTGTTTTCAGACCTCTCTGCTCAGCATGCTGGCTTTTTTGTCCCATTCTTCAGCACACCCCCAGACGAGCTGCTGGCACCCAACTCCGAGGTCTGGATTCCACTAGGTGGAGGTGCCATGAACCAAACCACTGTCGATCCCCCTGATTCAGTGGCTGAAGCATGGCAGGGACAGACAGTACCCGTCTCCACATTCAGGATGCCTTAAATGGGCTCTCAGTGCTGGACTCTCCAGCCCCAGCCATGGTTCAAGGCTTGATTCCTCCTTGGGCACTTACCTGTGTGCAGGAGAGCTCCACCACATGCAGGAAATACCAGTCCCCCAGCACAGGCCACACAGCAGAACAGCCCCCGTAGATAAACAAGTACTTCTGGCCTAGAAAGACACACAACCGGATGAAGAGTTAGGACTGGAGCATGACAAAAGCCCTCCCACCTGGGTATTGCATAGCAGCCGCTAGGGCAGACCCAAATCAACCCACATGCTTTTTGCTCCCACCCTGCACAATGAGTTTGCAATGGCTTCAGACCTGCGCTAGTCTCTCAGAAAGCTGCAAGGTGGGACAGGTTGCTCCCAAACACTGGATCCTAACCCCAGTCCTGCCACCAACTCCCTACTGAACTGGGAAGTAGTTTCACCTCTCGCTTCAAAACACTTTATTGGCATGGAAAGCTCAGAGAACGTATCAGCAATTTACAGATGTTTGTTAAAAAAAACCCCCAAATCCTGAAAAATGGAAACAGCATTAAAATACCTCTGCCCCAGGGAGCTATTACTTAGCACACTGTTCCACAGCTCCCAAAGCTGAAAGCAATCATGAGCAAACCCAAGCGGAACAAAAATATTAAACCTAAAAATATAAATAACAATTAAGAAGAGTCAAAAAGCACTTATTAGAATCCCTTCTCCCCCCCGCAATCCAAACTAACCAGCAACTCTGCAGACATAAAAGACTGCTTCTGTGAGTAAGAGACGCATTTTGGTTAAGAGAAGATGAAAGAGGCAATGAAAATGAATATGTAAATAATAAAACAGAAAACTGGAAAAGAAAGAGCCATGACTACAGATCAGCAGTTAGGAAATGCAGACAATGGATAAGGAAAACTAGAAGGAATTACTTCTAACATATCTGGCACCAGTGAAATCCTGGCAGAAGCACAGTTCAAATACCTAAACTAGGATCATGAGATTATTAACCACTAGACAGAAAAGACAGAAACATTCAACAAGTTTTGTCTGTTGTGTTTGGGGAAAAGCAGCTGGACAATGCGTACATATTTTGCAGTGATGTGGAAATGATTTTTAATTTCATCAATAACTAGCAAGAATGTTAACCAGCAACTAACAACGAAAACAAAGCAGTTTTAACTCTGCACAATTTCCACTCCAGGACATAAGGCAATTGAACAAGAAGTTCTCCAAGACACTGAAGCTGACTTGTAACAAATCCTGTGACACATGGGAAGTTTTGGGAGAGTGGAAAAAAGCCAGGATTGTGCCAGTAGCATTAAAAGTAAAAGAGAGATGATCTGGGCTGCTACAAACCAGTCTAACTTCAGTCCTAGAAACACTCATGGAAAAGCCAATTTAAAAGATGTCAACCCCAATTAAGACCACTCAAAACAGTTTTATGGAAACTGTGTCTGGTCAGACAAACCCAATTCAGCCTTTTGATGAGATTATCGTTTACTTCACAGACAATGGTATCAGTGCAGCAATCAGATTGCTGTAGTGTTTCACTTGGCACACCACAACAGTCTGCTTACAAAGTTGGCGCTACGTAACACGAGGAAGCACAAGTTAAGTGGAACACAGGCAGGCTGACAAATCTCAGAAGTAAAGATCAACAGGGAACTGTCATGGAACGAGGGTGTTTTGAGGGGTGTACCCTAGCCCTGATGCACAGGTTTATTAGTGGCCTGGAAGTAAACACACCTCACTATTGATACCATTTGCAGAGCAGGAGAAGTTAGTAACAAGGAGGACAGGGCACTTGCACAGAGGAATCTGGATGGGTTGACAAAATCTGTGCTAACATAGCCACATACAAGGCCATGAAACAAAAGACAAAAAACAAAATGCAGGCTATAGCCACAGAACGGGGAACTGTCTGGGGAAGCAGCGAGTCCATAAGGGAACGGGGACCACGAAGAACAGACAACTCGGTATAAACTCTCCATACAGCATGGTGGCAAAGAACACGAATGTGATCCTCGGGTGTATAAACAAAGGATTAGTGAGTAGGAGTATGGAAGTAGTTTTACATCTGGTTGCAGCACCAGCTGGCCAGTTATTGGAATACTTGCATCCAGTTCTGGTGTCTACATTTAAAAAAGGATGTTGAAAAATTCGGGAGGTGCAGAAAAAAGCCACAGAAATGACTTCGAGTCTGAGAAGGGCCTTGCAGCAGGGGACTTAGAGCTCAATCTGTTTAATTTATCTAAAATAAGACCAGAGAGGTTATTTGATTACTTGGGTATAATTCTGAATACAGCCAACCCGTCCCTCATCTGCGGACAAAGGCATAATAAGATCCAATGGCTGGATGTTAAAATCCAGAGGCCCCAAACGTTTGTCAAACAGCTCTCCCAACTGTATAGCTGGTCCAATAAAAGCTAAATCGCAGAAAATCCTGGCCTATAAGAGGCACCCATGTCCAAACAGCAAGGATGACCAACCCCTCGAACAGATTTCCCAGGGAAATGGAGGCTTCTCTATCTTCTGGGTTCAGGATCGGGCATCTCTTTCTAAAACATGGTCTCCAGCTCAACCAGAATTTACTGTTTGAGATGCAGGAATACAAAGCAGACACATCTAGGTGGAATTTAGTAGCCAGCATTACTTGGGAAGCTAGGCAAGGCTAAATTACCACGTTGGGCCTCAATAGTGTCTGGCTGCTGGTGTGCTTGTGGGATGTCTATAACACCAGGTCTGCTTACAGCTCTTACCCTTCCCCAGCCCAGTTAAAGCATCCCAGTCACTGGGGAAAACTCGCTCCAGGTCTCCTTACCTTGGCACGTCACCTCAGTTGTGGTATGTCTCCAGCGCTGTGAGACTAGGTCCTCAGCTAGCTGCAGCCTCTTGAACTGCGCCACGATGCCGTCTGGGTCCGAGGCACTTGAGGATTTGTGGAACTCTAGCCACAGCGCCCCCAACACTGTGCTGGTGGGGGACATTCGCCCTCCCATTACCAGGGCCCGGTTCTCAGAGAGACGAGTCACAGTGTGGTACAACCGCCCACCTGTAGGGAAAGAAGAGCCCAGGAATTGGACTGCTCCACCAACCACGGCATTCTGACGGTTACCAGACCAGAGGCTTTAGTCTGTTCCAGTTTCCATTACTGCTGCACTGGTGTTACATGGATCCCCGTGTATACCCCATCCCAAGAGAAGAACTCACCCCAAGCACTGCTGGGCTCTTCTACTGTCACGCAGCCTGCTCGCCAGCTGTGCTTATGCCTGACTAAGAGATGGAGCTCTCTCAGGCGACAGTGCCGTCCATCCTGCTCTCCAAAGCCACCAGTGGTAAGAACTAGATGTGGTCCGATTAGCACAGAGCGGTGAGCAAACCTCTTCAGGCCTGCAGCTTCAGAATCAATCATGCACATGGAGGCACGGATGCTCCCAGTGGTGGTAGGGGCATTGCCAGGAGCAGGAGCTGCAATTGAAAAGAGGAAGACTCTAAGGCTCTTGGGGTTTCTTTGCAGTGTACCCCAGATCCTACTCAAACAAGAACCAAGAAGCTGACAACCCAAAGCAAGAGGCAAACTGGTTCAGCTTATCAAGAAATGATAGAGGCACCTTGGCTGCAGGGTACAGGGCTGCAGGTACAGGGTGCAGGGATGGGTGGAAAGGTCTGGGGACTAAAGAACCCTCTAAGTTAGCAAAGAAAGGCAAAGCAAGCACTAGTAGCTGGAAGCTGGAGTCAGACAAAGTAAAATTAGAAACAAGGCACATCTTTCTGAAGAGCAAGGATAATTAATGACAGGAACAAACTCAGAGCCAAGGGGTAAATCTATCACTTGGCAGCTGGGTGTCTTTTCAGAAGGAAGATACTAGGCAAACAAGCTATTTGGCTCAGGGCAGCGGTAACAGGTGACAGTCTCTGGCTGGCATTATGCAGGACCAGGCGAGATGAGCTAATGCTTCCTTTCGGGCTCCACAGTTATTGACCTACGAATGAGCAGAAATCGGGACACAGAACCGGGCTTGCACACAGACACCGCCAGACTGAATTGTCTCCACCACCCCCCAGCCCAGAATCCGGTCTCCATGCACGGCCTGCACCAGATGGTCTAGAAGCAAGTGGGCGTGGGATAATGTGCTCTTTACATCAAGTCTCATCTTTCAGAGACTGGCCTAATACCCTGAAGCACGAGGTTCAATCTCTCTTCCAAAGTTCACTGATGAACTGTCCTAGCTGAATCTTCCTGGTTATGCAAGCATCTCACTTTTCTTTACCTACTGTTAGGCCCTTGGCCTCAGCTACAGCCTTTGGCATTAAATTTCACAGCATTTAACTACACACTGTGCGAAAAATGATCAGTTTTGAATCTGCTGCCTTACAAGGCAGGAAGAACAGACACTCCCTGCCTACCTTTTCTAGATCATTCACTATTAGATTCAAAGCTGAAAGCACCCCCTATATTTACAGCTACCCAACATCCCATTATAAGATCCTCTTTTCAGTTGCTTGGTCTGAAATTTCCTGTGCCAGGTTTTCCCCCCATGCTGAAATGTTTTGAAAACCTCAGGGGAAAAGATGGTTCAGTTGTTTCCAAGTAATTAAGAGAAACAAATGTATACTATGTATGTATAAATACACATATGTACATATAATTAGTTGTTTTGGACATTCAAAACAACTGAAGTGGTGTGACACTCAGGACTGCAGCAACACACTTCTTGCCCAGATCTCGCCTGACTCCGAGTTGCCTGTCTGTAGAATGGTGAAAATCAGGACACAGAGGGGTTGTAGAGCTAAGTTCAGCCCTGGTTGTGGAGGAGTCAGACCCTGCTGCAACGAGCGCCTGGAAAAAGCCAACAAGGAAGTTGTTCATTTTGTATGCGAGGCAGGGCTTGAGCACCATGCAGGGCACAAGGCACACAGCCAGGCTCTGAGCAGTGACAAGAGAACCAAACCCTGAATGAAGAGGTATTCATTCCCTGACCACCAGGCACCCCCGCCCTGGCTGAGGCCAGGGCCTGTATACACACTGGTATGCCATCCTGGACTCGTAACTCTGTGCAAGGGGCTGAATACAAGTTACAGAGGCAGCCCCAGCTCTGATGTCTCCTAACACAAGTGATTTGTTTAAAACATGGCAGTTCAGCTTCTGAGTGGGTAGGGGCCACATGTCAACACGTCCCTCTACCACAGCACATGTACACCCCTACCATGCCATACAAGGGTCACCCTCTACCACGCCATGCCAGCACCTCCACCCACTGCGCTGTATTCCCACACCACACAGACTCCAGGACCTCCAAGTCCCCAGACCACAGGCTTTCTTGGCCATCCCGCCCCATGCCCAGATGACACCAAGCTGGGAGGAGTAGTAGATAGGATGGAGGGTAGGGCTAGGATTCAGAGTGACCTAGACAAATTGGAGGATGGGACCAAAAGAAATCGCGTGAGGTTCAACAAGGACAATTGCAAATGGTGAGGGGGCTGGGGGACATGACTGGTGAGGAGAGGCTGAAGGAACAGGGCTTGCTTACTTTGGAGAAGAGAAGACTGAGGGGGGATTTAATAGCAGCCTTCAGCTACCTGAAGGGGGTTTCAAAAGAGGATGGAGCTGGGCTGTTTTTAGTGGGGGCAGATGACAGAACAAGGAGCAATGGGCTCAAGGTGCAGCAAGGGATGTTTAGGTCAGCTTTTAGGAAGAATTTTCTCACTAGGAGCATAGTAAAACACTGGAACAAGTTACCTAGAGAGGTGATGGAAGCTCCATCCTTGAAGGATTTTAAGACCCAATTAGACAAAGCCTTGGCTGGAATGATGTAGTTGGGGTTGGTCCTGCTTGGAGCAGGGGGTTGGACTAGATGTGACCTCCTGAGGTCCCTTCCGACCCTCATTTTCTATGATTTTATGACTAGGTAAAAGCCAGAGAAAGGAGACTGAGCCCAGAGACTCCAGCAATGGCAGCAGTGGGGGTGGCATCCAGACCAGGAGCCCAGGGGCTGCAGCCTAATTCCCTGGGGGCTGCATGCAGGCCATGTGCACCAGCTAGAGAGCCCCGATTTAAAAGAATTTCAGGCTTGCAGAAGCTGTTTATTTGTATCCTGTTACCTCTCCACTGTCTCCTATTTACCTTCCTTCCAAAGTGAAACAGCCCCATTTTCTCAATCTCTCGTCATACAAGTTATTTCAGACCCCTAATCAGTTTTGCTGCTCTTCTCTGAATGTCCTCTAATGTAGCTTATCTTCTGACATACAGCACAGCCTGCATAACATACACACCTGTTTTTTCATAGAATTATAGAACCAGAAGGGACCTGTCAGATCATCAAGTCCAGTCCCCTGCTGTGGGCAGGAAGTTATTGGGCTCAGATGAGCTCGACAAGGTACCTGTCCAGCCTCCTCTCGAACACCTCCAAGGAGGGTGACTGCACCATCTCTGCTGGGAGTGTGTTCCAGATTCTGGTGATCCTTACAGAGAAAAAGATTTTTCTTATATCTAGTCTGAATTTAGTCTCTATTAGCTTATGCCCACTGGTCCTCGTCCTACCCTTGGGGTGCCCCTGCCTTCCTGAACAGTTGCTCCCCTAGATCCTGGTGTTCACCTCTGACATACCTGTAGGCGGCTATCAAGTCATAGATTCATAGATTCATAGATTAAGGGTCGGAAGGGACCTAGTAGATCTTCTAGCCCGACCCCCCGCCAGGGCGGGAGAACAA